GGACTCTCAAATGGCTGTCTTCCAACAGAACAACCTCCGCAATATGAAAAACATATCGTCAGGACCTCTGAAACAGGGACTTGGAGGGAGGGTTTAATGCAACATCGTTGATGCGTCCTGGGTTTGCACTGGTCCTCCTCATCCTCCCCCTCCTCCCACCTCTCTCTTCATCTTCCGCCCTCCTCCCTTTCACCCGTCCCCACTTGCTCCTTCGCATCCTCCTCCTCCACCTTCGATGGCAGGCATTGCAACTCCACTCCTGGGTTATGCTCGAGCCTGGACTTGACAGCTGATTCACCTGTCTGTTCCACTGGATGCTCTTGCAGTTTCCTGATTCGGACAACTCGCCGGCCGATCATTTGCGGACGGGCTGGTGTGGATACCAGAAGCGTCAATGATTTGTATGGTGACCTAATGTATTGTATTATCAGGATCTGGAAGTTGCTGTTAGGGGCCCAGGGGGAATGTGGAAGCTTGGCGAGGTTCAAGGAGGCTCTACATAGAAGATGAGACGGGATGAGCGAAGGGCGGGATGAACGATGAGACGGGATGGAGCAGAAGGAGATAAAGAATGAGCATGGTGGGAGGAAGAAAACATGAGAGGAGCTTATGGATTTCTGGATTGGCCACGCGCGGAAGGACTGGGGGAGAAAGGACGCCGCAACATAGGGGAATGAGGAGAGGGGAGGAGAAGGACGAGGATGAGGAGGGGTGGGAGGAGGAGGAGGAGGAGGAGGAGGAGGAGGAGGAGGAGGAGGAGGAAAGGGAGGGTAAGGAGGGATAAGGAGGCGTAGGATGATGAGTATGATGGTGAAAAAATAAGAGGAGTATGGGCGGTCGTGATTGTGATGATGGGGTAAATCTGGTGACGATACATACATGCGTGTGTATACCATCATCATCACCATCACCTTCATCATCATCCTCATACGCACATCCCCGAAGGAGTGTAGTTTAGAAACGGTACATTGTGAAACAACGTTTCTTATTTTGGCCGGCTTGCTCGGGACATGTTCAATATTCTGAACATCGGGTACACCCCTCACGCAAATCGCGACGTCACGGTCCAAAAGCACGACGGATTCTCAACGTTTAACATCCGACCTTCAAGCACACAGTGGATTTCAATGAGTTTGAGCGAGCCCCCGGTTCCAAGAACGTTGCAGTTCCGCCTGAGACATCCTCCGAACATCGAACCCTCTGCCAGCGCGAGTCTTACAAGAACAACAGTTCCGCCTGAGTCATCCTCCCAAGATCGAGCCCCAGCGTGCGAAGCACACAGAAGACACACACACACGCACACGCACACACACACACACCGAAGACACATACTCTCCCCCTTCCCCCCCGCACCCACACCCACCCACCCACACACACACTTTTTGGTCGGCGGGGCGAGAGCGAACCTCTTCCGCCAAAAGCTAGGCGGGCTACGCACAGCTTTAATTAGGGAGACAGGGCACAGGCGGGCGGGGCCTCAGGCGGCCAGAGTGGGCGGGGCCCGGGGTGCAGGCGGTGCCGAAGAGCTTGCACAGGAACAAGTACGCCGCGGACAGGGGCCCGAGGCGAAGATCCGGAGGGTGAGCGATGTGGTGTTGTCGTCAACGGCACGTCGCGAACACCAGCCTCAAGCACTGCAGAGGAGGACGTGCCACTTGACCAGGTCGACGTCCAGGAGGGAGATGACCACCATGAAGGCGAAGAGCAACGTTGTGCCACCACACACACACAGACATCCTCCGAACATCGAACTCTCTGCCAGCACGAGTCTTACAACAACAGTTTCGCCTGAGACATCCTTCCAACATCGAGCCCCCACGTGCAAAACACAGAGACGACACACACAGAAGACACACACTCCCCCCCGTTCCCCACCCCCCACACACACACCCATCCACACACACACACACACACGCGCGCGCACGCGCACGCATGCACACGCACACGCACACGCACACGCACACGCACAGGCACACGCACACGCACACGCACACACAATCACAAACACAGACACACACAACCACACATACACACTACGCAAATCGCACCACATACACCACGCAAAACACACCACACACAACACACACAGAACACCTCCACATAACACCTACAACACACGGACCACACATAGAGAGCACACACAACACCCACACACACACACACACGCGCACACACAACACATACACGCATATGACACACACACAACACTCAACACAGGCAACATACACAACGCGCACACATATCTCACTTAATGCACATATAACACACATGACGCACATAATCCACACATGACTCGCACAAAGCATACACAGTGCACAATACACATACACACCATACACAACGTACATAGCACACACACACACACCTCACACACACCACAAGCACGCACACACACACGCGCATCCTGCACATGTGTTTGTATGAGCCTGGACACGCACGTGCCACTTGTGTGTACATATGTTTTTTTTTATATGTATATATGTATACACACATATCCACCACCATGCCTTCAGCACGCAATGGAGTGCCCCAAGGCTCAGGCAACCCTGAGAGGTGGAGGGTTTGTAAAGATCTTAAAAGGCCTGGAGCCCCAATTTCCCAAGACCTCTTGGGCTGTACTGGGCGCTACCGGGCGCTACCCGGGTGTGTCGCATGGGCCAATGGGACCGCAACCCCGCCGAACAGGGCCCCAACACGGACGAAGAGGGCTCCAAGGAGCCCCCAAGCAGGGTACAGGAGGCCTCCGAGACGGCCCAACGCCTCAGATAGCCTCACGACGGCCTAAGAGGCCCCCGACACGCCTCAAGAGAGAGGGGCCCCCCCAAAGCAAGCATCGCCCCAATCCCGTTGGAAAGCGTGTGTGTGTGTGTGTGTGTGTGTGTGTGTGTGTGTGTGTGTGTGTGTGCGTGCGTGTGTGTGTGTGTGTGTGTGTGTGTGTGTTTAGCATGTTCGCTTATCTCGTCGCCGCAGCATCCAAGACGGCCCAAGAGGCCCCCCATTATCGGCCCAAGGCCGCCCAGAAGGCTCTTAAAAAAGGCGCAAGATGGCCCAAGAGGGCCCCAAGACGGCCCAAGAGGGCCCAGAGACGGCGCCAGAGGCGCCCAAGACGGCCCAAGAGGGCCCAAAGACAGCCCCAAGTAGGGGAGCACAAACCGAAAATCCGAGTCTTCCGCTCCGAACGACCCCCAGGAGGCCTCCTGCGACATCCCAACGAACATCCTAGCAACCTATGGCCCATACCCCAGGCCCGGTGGCGGGATGGGTCGAAGGCCATTGCATCTGCATCCATGTATATCTGCCTGTCTGTCTGTCTGTCTGTCTGTCTGTCTAGCTGTCTGTCTGTCTGTCGGTCGGTCTCTGTATCTATAAGCACATGTATATACATAGTTGCATGTATGTACGTACACGTGTGCGGACGACCATGATGACGATGACAGATCAGGACAATGATGGGGGAGGCGGAAGAAGAGGAACCAGAGACGCAGCATAATGATGGAGGATGTTCCTGGATCTGTCTGGGGATCGGCAACGGTAGGATAGGGGGGAAGATTTGGATGACGAGGAGGGGCGAGAGAGCAGAGAGCAAGGAACCGGGGGAGCAAGATGACGAGGCGGGAGGAGGGACGCGGAAGGAAGAGAGTGGGAGAAGCGGGAGAAACAGAGCAGCACGACGAACATCGGAATAGGCGGTGCGTCGTTCTAGTGATTGAATGCCTGCAGGTGAGTGCCCCTGACCCAGAGGAGGGCCGAGGGAGGAGGGAGCAGGGATGAGGAAAACGGCGAGGATGGAAGGGAAGGGCGGTAGGGGAGGAGGAGGAGGAGGAGGAGGAGGAGGAGGAGGAGGAGGAGGAGGAGGAGGAGGAGCGGGGGCGATGAGGGAGGATGACGAGAAGAAGGAACGAGAGGGAGGAGGCACGCAGCAGGGAGTGAGTATGTAAGATGGAGGAGCAGGGGGGGATGAGGATGAGGAGGGAGGAGGGACAAACTCCAATGAACGACGAGCGACCAACCCGAGCATATGAAGGCAACGGATGAGGATGAACCCTGACTTGCCGTCCGATGCCCTGGAGGGCAACATCCGTGCTTACCGTGCCCACAAGGGAAACCATACACACAAGACGCCTGGCCGCCTGGGCCCCGCCGCCAACCCCGACTGTGAGCACAACCGTAGAAACGAGAAGGGCGACCCGCTCTGGGTCATAGGTTGCGCATCCATTAGTTGCACCATCGGCTTCGCCACAAGTTGCGCCATCCAGAGGTTGCGGCAGCTGTGCATTTCGCCATCCGTAGGCTGCGCTGTGGACTGTGCCATCCGTTGGTTGCGCCATCGCTTGCGCTGTTTGGTTGCGCCGTCTGCCGCCGAAACTCACAACGGCCTGCCACCTTTTCGTTGCGCCATGGGTTGTGCTCTGGCCGCCGAAAGTAAAAAAAAACGGCATATCAACGGGCGCGACAAATCATCCAAACAATCACCTCCCGAACACACAATTTCGGATTTGCACGGAAGAAACAAACAATACCGTTTGCAATCGAACGCACCTTCGCCAAACATGCGCGCATCACTTCCATTTACTAGATCCGATCTCTCCGGGCAACCACCTCCTACAATCCTCTAGCATGGAGGGTAGAGGGCAATGAATATAAACGATGGTGATGACAGATCATGGGGGTGGTCCATCGCATCGGACTGAAGTCTGTTCGCGAACTCTCCACTGAATTTACTCGCCCAAGCAGCGCCCGAACCTTTGTACCACGAAACGCCGCGCTGGACACTTTGATGAGGAGGATGAGGGGGGGAGGAGGATGATGGGGCGATGGGGTCTGTGCTGAGAATGGGCCCTGCCCCTCCTCAGAGGCTCCAACGAAGGCGGGAGGGCTCCGACGAGGCGACATCAGGAGCAGGGCTTCGAGGAAGACGACGACGGCGACGAGGATGCCCTCTCAGACGGCCGCCCGGACCCCGCCCCCCAGCAGCAGGCCGGGCTCGGCGGGCCCCCCTCCTTCTTGACTGGCACGGACTTGCCGCCGATCCCTGGGCGGCTTCGGTGGGTGTTGGCCGCGGCCTTGATGCGGTGGCGGTGGAGCTTCCTCTTGATCTGCGGGGCCAGCAAGGGCGCGGAAGCCAGAGCTCAGAGGAGGAGAAGGTACCGAGACCGCTGCCCTCGCCTCGTTTTCGCCTGTCTTCGGCCTCCAGGGAGGCCCTGGTCGCCACCGCTGGACTCGCCTCGAAGTCCTAGTCGGAACGCACCCCGGGAGAGGTCCGTGGAGTAGCGGCGTCGGTACTCCGGATTCCATGAGAAAGTGGGGGGGTCTCATTTTGGGGGGCTCTGATTTGAGCCGTCTTGGAGGGTTCGGGGGGGGGGCTGGACCACGGGCCGCCCTTTCATGGATGGTCTGGGAAGGTCTACACCTTCTCGTCTGGGAGGGCTGCGGCCCCCTCCCTTTTATTGTCAGGAAGCCTGGAGTACCTCTCGGCTTCCCCGGGAGCGCAGGCCGTGGGTGCAAAGCGTGAGGGCCTCGCCTTCGAGGGGCCGGCGGGGCGGGTCTCGGGCCTCTCGCCGTCGGGGGCAGGGCGCGGTGGCGAGGGGGCCTCCCGCGGGTGCCGTGGAGGGGGCGGCCAGGAACGCGGAGGTGCAGTGGGGGCCCATGCCAAGAGGCACCCTGTTTGCCTCCAGGGTGCCCTGGGTTTCTTGGGCTTCGATGGTTTTGCGATGGGGAGCACGACGTGCCCACACCAACAACCGATGGACGTCCTGGGATTTCAGGGTTGGGTTGCTTGTGGCAAGTTTCTTGTGGACGGGCCTCCACTGGACGGTCAGAAACTATTGCTTGCCGTGTCGCAACGGCGGCCCTGGTGACCCGCTCCGCGTGGCGGGAAGCGGAGAAAAGCCCGGGACGTTTATGACTTGGGGCGGTGACGTGGTCGGGCGACGAAAAGAAGCGAGTCTTACGCGAGATGACGCGGCGACCGTACGCGGTGGCTTACGCGGGCCGCCAGCGCGGCACGCCACAATGGAGACGAGGGCGCCTACGCACGACCTTACGAGGGCGGCTTGCGCGCGAATGTCGGTGCAAAAGACCCCGCCATGTTGCGCCGCGCACTTCGCGTGTTCTGCAGGGCGTGCTCGTGTGGCAGTCCGGCGGGCGAGCCCCGTGTCAGGGCTCCTCCGCTTCTGCCAGCTGTGCGCCACCACAGGGAACATTCGGGCTGGGCGGGATAGGTCGATCAGTGGCAGTCGGCCTACCCCAGCAACTCTGCGGATGCGGGCAGCGCTGATGCGCCCGCTTGAACCCGTCTGCAGCATTCTTTCCCGCATGGCATGCGTAGCCTTTTTTGGCTGGATTCCGCCTGTGAACTGGTGGCCGCCGCCGCTCAAACCGCTGGGCAAATTTTCGAGTTCCTCCTGTTTTGCCGTATTCAGCATCCGTCGCTCTGCATTTCGCTTCGCCCCTGCTTGTCTCACCTCTCCCTGCGTGGGTTGACACACGCCCGGTTGGCCTTCGAGCCTTCCATGCTCTCACGCAGTGTACGCGGTCCCGTCGTACACATTCTCTCCTGAGCAAGTGGTCGTGATTAGATTTGACTGCCGGGTCCCCCAGAACATTTTGAGCTCATGCGCTTTCCTTGGGCTCGGCGGGTGGGGCAAGTCATCTCGTAAGCGTGCCACACCGCCGAGCCGCACCGAGAGAGCACGGCTAGCGCCAATGCTTCCCTCTGCCTCCCCCCTCCAGCTGCGCCTGCCCCTCTTCCTTACCCTCCTCCTCTTGCTCCCTCCTCTCACTCCTCCTCCTCCTCCTCCGCCTCCTCCTCCTCCTCCTCCGCCTCCTCCCTTCTTTCACTCCCTCTCTGGCTCCTCCTCCTCCTCCTCCTGCTCTTCTTCTTCTTCTTCTTCTTCCTCCTCCCCCGCTTCTCCATCCTACCCCCTCCTCCTCCTCCTCCTCCTCCGCCTCCTCCTCCTTCTTCATTGTCTCCCTCGTCTTCTGAAGGGAAGGCGGCCTTGGCGTACTCGTTCCCGCCGAGCAGCCGCAAGTCGTTCCAGCTCCAGGTGCCTCTCGGAGGCGTTGGGGACGGAGGCAGCGGCGCCCGCGGCAGAGCCAAACCCGATACTCCCCCGGTCGCCTGCATCCTCCTCCTCCTCCTCCTTCTCCTCCTCGTCCTCCGACATGAATATGTCGGCTGCCTGTCCTGTAGCACGATCCTGTAGCACGAAGGGAACGCAGGAGAGCGAAATGGCAAGGGAAGGAGAAACGCCACAGCCGACCAACAGCCCTCGCTGGCACTTGATCTCCTCCTCCTCCTCCTCCTCCTCCTCCTTCTTCTCCTCTTCCTCCTCCTCCTGCTCCTCCTCCTCCTCCTGCTCATCCTCCTGCTCCTCCTCCTCCTCCTCCCCCTCCTCCTCCCCCCCCTCCTCCTCCTCCTCCTCCCCCACCTCGTCCTCCGCCTCCGCGTCCTCCTCCTCCTCCTCCTCCTCCTTCTCCTCCTACTCCCCTCCTCCTTTGGAGAAGAGGGATAGGGGCTTCCTCCTGAGAAAGCGAAGGGGCTTCTGAGAAGCCAGCCCACCCTCAAATAAGCCTCCCCGGAAGCCTCCGCCCCCTTCTGATAGGAACCCTGCCCTCTCAGAAAGCAGCCTCCCATTCCCCCCTCTCCTAGAGGCCTCCTCGTTGGGGTCGGAATAGATGGGGTCGAAGGATCGCGCCGCATCGCCGATGCATCGGCGATGCATCGCCGATGCACTGGCGACGCCAGCGGTTAATCGGCGATGTCGGCGTGGAGAAAATTTGGCCCTACATCGAGCCGCATCGCCGATGCATCGGCGAGGCCTAGATCTCCACCCTCCCCCCCCGCCCCCCTCGAGCGAGGCCGCCAAGGAAAGGGCGAACTGAGCGCGCGACGGCTGGCCCTCCCAGAGAGATGCTGGCGTCGAGTAGCCCCTTCTCTCCCAGCGAGCTCCAAAACCGCCTACACGCCCGAGTGACCCCAGGCAAGATCGGGCGGGTGGTAGTGGGGGGTGGCCCAAATGCGGGGTGAAGAAGAAGGCCCTAAAGGAGCCCTTCAGGGCCCCTTCTGGTGCCAGCAGGTCCCCAAAAGGGGCCCCGAAGGGCTCCATTAGGGCCTTGTTCTTCCCCCCCCGTTGGGGCCACCCCCCCCCACCACCCGCCCGACAAGCGTGGCCCTTGGTGCCTCTGGCCGGCTTCGGGAGGAGGGGCAGGGGCAGGCCCAAGCGCGCAAGCCGCTGGTGTCGCATCGCACTCGGCGATTCGGGGGTAGCCGCCTGGTGGGCCTGCACCGAGGGTCCCGCCGAAGGGCCCCAGCACCACGCGCCATCCGCCCAGCGGCGCCGCCGCGGGGTCCGCACGCGAGGGGGCCGCGCGGGGAGACGCCGCGCGCCAGATGCGCGCGCGTGGAGGGCCGGTCGGCGTGACTGCGCGAGCGACGAACGGTGGGAAGAGGATGCGAGCACGCGCCTGTCTGGCTCCCGCCTGGGCTGGCGCCCCCTGGCACGCACACGACCTGGCGGAAGGCACCCCCCCAGCGCGCCGTCGCAGCTGTTCGCCGTGTGCCATCATAGCATGTGCGCTCACGCCATCCCGCATGGCGCCTGTGTGGGTGCGCGCGAGGATCTACTCGGCGGACGTTGGCCTCTGACACGTCGCAGATCTCTCATGTCTTGAGCGATCCCCACTGTCCGACAGCGAAGCGCGTTCAAGGTTGGCCTGCTTCAAACCGCCGGCCTTCAACCTGGGACGGCCGCGCCGGCGTCGCCGCCGCGTGGATGCAGCGCGGCAGTGTCTCACCCCTGCCCAGTGTTTCTGGAGGGGCGCCCGTTTTGTGCAGGTCGAACTCCACGAATATCGACTCCTCCGGCCAGGGAGCGCACGCTTCTGCCCTCCCAGCGAGCTCTCTCGGCTTCCTTGCCTCCCTCGGGAGAAGGAACAGCAGCAGAAGAGGAGCAGGAGGAGGCGGAGGAGGAGGAGGAATAGATGGGGGAACAATGCAGGATGAAGGAACCAACGAACATGAAAGTCCGCAGTGATGAAGGATGAAGGAGGAGGAGAAGGAGGAGGAGTAGGAGGAGCTCACCGCTCCTCCTTCGGCCATCCATCCCATCTGGCCCCTTTATCAGGTATTCTCATCCTCCTGTTCCTACACCTTCAACATACCCTTCCCCCTCCTACTGCGCCTTCCCCGTCCCCTCCTCCTCATCCTCCTGGTGGGGGCGGAACGAGAATCCCTGGCCGCGCAAAGAGATCGGCCTTCCTATCTGACGAACCGTTGAACGCTCGAGCCTGCCGTGCAGCACGTGCTCCCCTCCGATACATGTGTTTGAGCCTCGCTTGCTGGCCAGGCCGGCTTGGCGAGGGGTCTGAGGTCCGCCCTCCAGTGTGCATGCCTCACTCTGCAGCGGGTTGGGCGGTCCATGGTCTCCTCCTCCCCTGTCCAGGATGCTCTTGGGACAGTGCACTACTTGCGGAGCACCCCTCCCCGATCCTTAAACATGTCGTGATTGCTGGGGTCGGGCGCTGGCAGCACCGGCGCACTCTCGAGCACCGTCCTGATCAGAGTCCAGGGGGCCTCAGGCTCTGGCATCGTGGTCTGCGGGCGTGCTCTTGGCACAGAGGAGGGGGTCCGCTGCACTGCGGCAGGGGACAGCGCGCGCTCTGGTCTGGAGCGTGCTGGTTCGGGATCCGATCCGAACATCAGATGGGCTGGTCCTCTCTCCCGCCTGCCCTGCCTGCGGAGCCTGTGAAGGCACCACTGGACTGCTTCAGAAGAAGAGGAGCCTCCTTTTTCGGAGGCCGTCCTGGCGGCGCACGAGTTCAGGAGAGAATATAGTTTTTCGGTGTTCTGGGCATGCTTGGACAGGTTCGACGCCACGATCGGACTTTCCGTCGAGCCCAGCCTGCCCGCTCCCGTTGCTGACTCTCTTTCGTCGAGTACTGCGGGAGCTGGGTGTCTCATCGGGCGGGATAAAGGGGGACACTGTCTATATATATACCGTCGGCTCGGGGTGCGGGAACCGAGCTCCTGAGGGCACCAGATGCGGCTGGAGCTGCGCGCAAGCAGACGTCTATGGCGTGCGTCTGCGAGAGGCTGCGTTTGGAGGTCTTCCGCGCGTCCTGCACTCTGCTGGCAGAGCTGAGCGCGTGGTCGGCTGGGGGGCGGCGAAACTCTTCCGACACACGCGTCTCATTGTCAGCGGTCGCAATGGTTTGTACAAGAAGTAAGAGGGTGGTGCCTTCATGTTGCTTCGTCCAAGGGTACCTGGCCCCGCATTTGGCGATTTCTGTACGTTGTTGCAGACGAAAAGCCGAGACCCGACTTTGGGCGAGCCCCATTGCATATTTCGATTGCTTGCGCGCCGGACAGTGTTTTTGTGCTCGTTGTGCAAGGCAACGCGTGGGCCAACTATTTTGTCCTTTTGGGAGCTCTCTCTCCTGCGTTGCCAGCGAAGTACGTTCAAAGTTTGATCTCCAGATCGTTGCTGCACGCTTCCGGGCGCGATTCCGTGAAGTTGCCGTGGCCAGGATCGCGGTTTTCGGTCTTTGGGAATTTGTGGCATGGGGAACGGCCATCTGGTGGCCGGAGGTTGACCTTGATCAATTTTTCCGAACACTCCTTCGAACGTTTCGCGACGCTGGTGAGGTGCGGCGCATGGAGCAGAGCATGTCGGCCAAGCCGGAGCTCACATTTCGTTCGCTTCGAGTTCGTTCGCATGCAGTGCGTGAGCCCACGCCTGAGCGCAGGCCTGGAGATGGCCTGTATCTCGAGGATGCCAACAGGGGCGCTCCTTCCACAAACGGGCGGACCTCTCGGTGGGTCTTGCGCTCCTGGCTGCTGCTGCTCTCGACTCGATGGGGAGGAGGCTGTTTCGTTTGAGCTCCATCCCCAGTGATGTTGTTTTGTTGTTGTTTGCAAAAGCCGCATGCGTCTCGCACAACTCTCTACCCGCCACCTGCTTTAAATGACTATGAGTTGAAAGAAAAATGAATCGAAACACCACTCTGAAGCGAGTGCCTCGGCGACACATGCAGACGTGAGCGTACCAAGCAACATGCCATCTCGGAGCAAGAGCTCGCGCTCCCTCCGATCCCTCCCATCGGCTTGGCCATACTTTCACATATGCTTCGTATTATCTTTATGAACAATACTATTAGTGTTCGTATTGATGTCATTAGTACCATTAAGATTAGTAATATTATCGTTATTATTGTTTATAAATGGTTATTATAATACTATTGTTCCTAGCTTTTGAAGTATTGCGGTTCTTACCTGTATTCTTATTACTGATAATCTTAGATGGGGTCACCGGGTGGTGCAGGTCGGGCAGCGTGCGCCTGTCTGCGGCTCCGCGGTGGCTCTCTCGCTCCGCCGCTCCTCCCAACCCCCCCGACATCATGATTTGTTCTTGACGTCGACCCCCAAATCGGGACGATCGAAATGGGTACGGAAAGAATGGGTTCGTTGTCCAACAGCAATTCCTGAACAGGACTCGCTGTCCGCGCCGCCGCGGACTTTGTCCGTTGAAGACAAGGAGCCGCCCGCCCAACAGCGGCAGCTGTCGGTTTTGGACAAGATTTGTTATTGGGCAGTGTACTCATGGCTTCCGCACCAATTTCGGGCGTCCAAACCAGAGGTCTCGACCCACTCCTCGGGACCGGTTTACATCCTGGGTTGCGTTGTTGACGGTCCTAGGGCAGGCAAAAGCACCCAGAAGCCGAAAAGAGCGAAACGCCTCCCGTCGCGCTCTTTCGTGACTCGAGGGGGGTCCGGGTGGTGTCGCTGATAGCTCTGGTCTCTGGCTACCCTGCAGCGTCTGTTCGCAGGGTCTGCCCCTCGCGTAGGTGCCCAGCAAGCGTCGCTTGCTGGGGCGATGTCGTTGATCCGCCCCAGGACTGTCGCTTCGCCTCTTGCTGATGGTAGGGATGGTGCGCGGGTCGAAACCAGGCCGCTGGCCAGCCCCAGACCGACCAACTTCGTCCCAAATGAGATCGGTTTCGGCGGCGGCGACCGCGAGGACGACAGGGCCGCTGCCAGTGGTCCCACTCCGTCCCGAAGCCTCGGCAGCTGCGAGAATGGAAGACGGTTCGTTTTCACGATGGGGCCCACGCCTGAGCCCCGCACACATTCGGCTCACACGTTCCCAACAGCTGCGGCGACAGAGACCTTTTCAGCATACGTTTGTCGCCTTTGTGCCACGCACATTCGTCTGAATATTTCCTCACAGCTCACAAAACATTATGGATTGCGTGTCATTCTCAAGCTGTAGCTCTCGCCCACGAGCCGCGCACGTTCGTCTAAGCGTTTCCCAGCGGCTATGGTGATGGAAGGCATGTCGCTTCGCAAGTGTAGCCGTATCTTGAGACTTCCTCGCAACACATGACACTACGCACAAACTTTTGCAACTTCTACCCGCGTGGATGGATCCTTTTTCACATGTGGGCTCTGGCTTGTGGCGTCGTCAAACGATCAGAACCACTCGTGAACACTTGCGCAAAGGTTGCACGAATGGAGGGCGGATGCGGCTAGACGATGCAAGGCAACAACCTTTTCCAGACGGCGCTCTCGCCTGAATGACAGGCCTTTGGGGCGCTCGTGTTTCAATGGGGTGTGTCTGATAACGCAAACGGAAGATTTCATGCACTTATGCTTGAAGTGTCTTGGAACGGAGGCAAGGTAATGCAATATCGTTGATACTTCCTGGGTCCGCCCTGGCCCTCCAACGCCTGCTCCTCCTCCTCCATCCTCCTCATGCTGCTTCTGCTCCTCCTCCTCCTCCTCCTCCTCCTCCCCGCTCCCCCGTCTACCTCCCATCCACCCCACCCCCTGTCTCGCGACAAAACATGTTGGTACTTCTGTGTCTGGAAGGTGGCTTTCCGTGTCCAAATCTGCGTTGCGTTCCTGGGTATTCCCGAGGGCATCCTTTGGAAACCCTTCGGGAACCCTGGACAATCCGATGGGGAATCCATAGGGAACCCTTTGTAATCCCATGTTTTTTTCGGGAACCCTTCGGAATCCTACAAGGAACTCCTTCGGGTACCCGTCGGGCGCCTATGGACATTCCACTGGGAACCCTTGAGGGATCTGGTGGGGAATCGTCAGGTGGAGGGAGGACGAACCTGAGGAAGCGGATGAAGACTCGCAATACCCGCGCACAGCGGCACCTTCCGCTCTCAGGGTTCTCGTCGTCGTCGTCGTCGTCGTCGTCGGTCGGAAAGATGGCGGCCGCGACGCCTCGACTTGATCTTGAAGTATGAGGGAGCGCGATCCACTGTATGTTGCGCAATCTATGTGGAGCAACCAATGTGGTGCAATCTATGGGATGCACCCTATGTTGTGCAATCTATATTGTGTAATATATGTTGTGCAGTCTATGTGGTGCGATCTATGTGGTGCAAGTTCACTTGCCGAAATTGAAGTTGTCAACTCCACTGCTCGCGCGATCATCCCACCCATCCACCCGCAACTTGGTTTGCAAAATCTCTTAAGACCGTGACGGTGGGTACCAAATGGCACTTGGCAACGACAGCGACGCCGACGACGACAGCGACAACGACGACGACACCGCCGACGACTACGACGACACCGATGACGTCTCCAACGACTTCGACGACGCCGACAACGACGACGACGCCGACACCGACGACGACGACGACGCCGACGCCGACGGCGACGACGACGATGACAACGACGACGACGATGACGACGCCGACGACGACGACAACGACGACACCGACGACGACGACGACGTCAACGACGCCGACGACGACGACGACGACGACGACGGCGGCGGCGACGACGACGACACCGACGTCGACGACGACGAAGAAGACGACGACGCCGACGACGAAGACGACCAC